CGCGTGGGGTTGCCATGGCAACGAGCTCGCTGCGCGGAGGGTTTCCGAGCCTAGAGACCGCGCCTGCGAGGAAAGGCGGGGAGCCCCGCCCGGCCCCAGGCATGGCCCAGGAGACGGAAAACCACGACCCCATCGGATCCATCTTAATCCAGGTGGGAAATGGGCCTCTCCTGGCCCTGCCCAGCTAAGACCCCTGGAGCGAGGCGCAGCAGCGCCCATCCACTTGTAGCGCCGCCCCCAGCCGGCCTCCAACACGCGAGGGGCAGCGCCCCTCAGAGGACTCCCAGATTTGCCAATCTCGCCGGCCAGCCTCACACACCTCCGGAGCCTGACCCTGGAGGGTGAGCTTCAGAAGCACGACCATTCTGCCTCTGGTAAAACTCCAGGACCGTACGCCCCACCTAGGACCTTTACTTTGGAAAAATTCATCTTACAATGGGGCACCATCTTTAAATGTTAATGTTCTGAAAATTTTGAATCCATGATGTAGGGGAGTAAGTAAGATACAAATCAGACACATTGGAGAAGTGATAAGAAATTCGGGGAGAAATTGAAATATATGAACTGCTTTTCTTAAGTACCCCAATTTTTTGGATCTAAAAGTCCCTTGCAAATAAATGAGTTCTGGGGATGTAATGTACAGCATGTAATTATACCTAATAATATTCTCTTGTATGTTTGAAAGTTGCTAAGAGTAAATCGTAAAAGTTCGCATCACAAGAAAAAAGATTGTAACTGTGTGGTGATGGATGTTAACTAGATTTATTGTGGTGATGATTTAGCAATATGTACAAATATCCAATCATGTTTTATATGTGAAACTAACATGCTGTATGTCAACTATACATGAATTAAAAATAATAAATAAAAGTCCCTTGCTGGGGAACATGCACATGGGGAACTATATTAAAGATAAAGTCTTGCTAATCAAGTGAAAGTTTTGAGTATAGAAATGTGGCTTAAAGAAAAAAAAACTCAGGGAAATAACTTTTTCTATTCTGAGGGCGAAAAAATCAAGAAACTATTAACTCCTCCAGTATATATCAATTTGTGACAGTTACACTCAGATGTTTTGAAAATGTTAAAACCATTTTGTTTTTTCACATGTGACATTTTAAAAACATTTAAC